TCCTATCCGATGTAGTGAAACATATTATCAATCTTTCAAAATTTACCAAATCCATGAACTCAGCAAACAAGTTATCGCAAGCGGGGCTATATCCATAGCCATGAACACCCCAATTTGGGAAAGTTTCTTTAAAATCTAAATCCCTGTCACGGTTTTGTGTGTTTGTGTATGTGTTTGTCAGTCAGTCAGCGCAATAGCTCCAAGAGGAAAGAACCTAGAGACGTGAAACTTTGCACATACACTAAGGGAATTTTGAGGCTGTGCACCTAGGTAATATTTTTATTATACACGGACTTTTCTCTACGATAAAGTACTTTTTTATTTGCGAACTTTCGGTCCTCTTACCGGAGCCTTCATCGGGAAACAATGTACTGGGCGATAATAATCTGTTCAAAATAGGTATCTAGGCAACAGTTGTAACAAAAACTTACATCTGGAACTAAAGTTATTAAATACATAAAATTATGATGAATATAGAATATAAATCTATTGCTTCGATATAATAAACATAAGGAAAATACAATTATAGGTATTATGTACCAAAGGTTTAATTTTACATCGAAACTACATAGATACTGTGTTTGTGTGGTTTTTCTAAACATTATCTTTGATTTTAAATTACAAAGTAAGCTGAGTAGTTTAGCTAGCTGAGAGATTGATTGATAAATTGAAGGGTGAACAAGAGTTTAGGATTTATTCCGTACAACGTTTTTTAAAAACCTTTTACTACAAAACTGTTATTGTTGTATATTTTTAAAAAGAAACCATGTTTAAAAGTGTTTTTGTAAACATGTTAAAAACTGTTGTTGTTTTACATTTTAGGAGAAACCACGCATAAAAGAGTTACAATTCATATTATTGGCGGAAATGATTATGTTTAAATGTTTGTTGGTTTGTATCTAAAAAACATTAATTTTACAATGTATTAGTTGAAGAATGAAATATTCCTTTATTTTTTCTCTATATAATATCTATAATTGTATTTTCCTTATGTTTATTATATCGAAGCAATCGAAATATATTCTATACTGGCTACAGTACCCGTCCCCTAGACGAAAGTTATGTAAATTCATGATTAATGAAAGGTTATCTGAGGACATGAAAAGTTGCTTCCCTTATATGTAATTGTAAAAAACGCAAAAAAGATCACGAAAACTGTAAAACATAAAATGTGAAACTGCAACTTCTCTTGTACCTTTACATGGACCTAACAAACTTTCTTGGCAATTTTGGTGACTATCCATCAACAGGGGGTGAAGTAATGGTAAAAAAACGTCCATTAAAACCACAAAACGCAAAATGCAAAACTAAAAATTTGTATGTATCTCCCAATGAACCTCCAACCCAATGTTGGCGAAGATCCATCCACACCCTGCGAAGTAGTTACATGGACATACAACAGACAAGACTATAATATTTATTTGGATTCATCATACGTCTATGTATTTAATAACTTTAATACCAGAGGTCAGTTATTAATAGAACTGTTGCCTAGATACCTATTTAAAAAAAAGTTTTGTCGTTCATTACATTGTTGCCTGATGAAGGCTCCAGTAAGAGGGCCTAGAGCTCGAAAATTGGAAAGTATTTTAACACAAAGAAAAGTCCGTGTAATAAAAATAATACCCAGGTGCACACTCTCAGAATTCCCTTAGTATCTGTGCAAAGTTTCAGGTCTTTCTTCTTGGAGCTATGGGTCTGACTGACTGCCATACAAACACACAGACTGTTATTAGTATAGACTACCGAAAGTATCTGGCTTCGCACAAGTTATTAGGTTGATATATTTTAGTAAGTGCATAAAATTTGTCATGAAAGTAAAAGTATCAATCCGATATAAACTTAAATCGTTTCTGAATTAAGGTATTTTCTGTTATGTCACCAACGTTTTTAATAAAAACAAACCTCTTTAATCAACGGGGACTCCATATTAAGAAATCAACAAATATCCAGTTTTGTTGTTTATACATTTCATTTTATATTTTCAGTACATTGACTAACAACAGTATTAGGTTATACTTTTGTTGCTAACGAACATGACATAAAAGCCATTGTTGGAACGCATTGTTACCAAAACGCACTGGCTTTTCTGTATATTAGAAGTTGTTAATCTAACTGATATACTACAGGGTATAAATATGGAGCACGCATGCGCGCACGCACGTGGATAAGATTATGATGATAAAAGAGCGTGTCTGTGTAAGTGTGACCGCCATAGCTCCAACAGGAAAGAAGCTAGAAACCTGACATTTTGCACCGATACTAAGTGGACACTGAGGGTGTGCACCTGGGTATTATTACTTATCACAGTAGTCGATACGATACGAATCTAAATATTGATGCCGCGATACAATACGTATCTATACACAGAAGTTTTACCAACGGTTTGTTATAAAGTATGAATCTTGTCTGTAATTTATTATCTATATTACTAACATTGTCGTATTTAAAATGTTTTTTCAAATTCTCAGGTTTGATCAACTAAGTGGCTGCTGACAAGAGTAGTAAAATAGAAAGTTAATATCTGTCTATCTATTTCATTATTATTAATTTGTTATGTTACTTTGCATGTAATGTTTTTGATAAAAGAAATGAAGACAACATGTAATACTCAATACTCATATTCCTTTATTAAATCATCAATTTTTAGCAAAAATATTTTATTAGAAATTCTGATATTTTTCTGTACAAAAGACTTATAAAGTTTACTGAAATCTTGTCAAATTTCGTGAAGATACATGAATTATATGGTATCGGACATTGTATAGATACAATCGTACTAATAATCTGTGCGAAGCCGGGTACTATCGCTAGTTTCAAATAAAACTTTATATAGAAAAACAATTCGACTTATATATCGATCAAAATAGGTGTAATAAAATTGGTATTTTTACATTTTTATCATTTAATAGTTCTTCTGATTTTAAATTGTTAAAAAATATTTTAATAAAAGTAGTTATTACCCGTGCAGCGAACAAACAAATTTGGCCTTATTTTAAAAAACTTAAGAATGGAAAACTTTTTTCAAGCAATGACTGTTGTGTGTGTGGGGTGGGGGGGGGGGGGTGAACTGTACAAAAAAAAACCTATTATTTCATTCATTTTGTTTGGTTTTTACCTTTTTAAGCCTTTTATCTCACAGAAATATGACTATTTGACATGTATTGTTATATGAAAAGCGAACTTTTTATCCTTTCTGTTTAAAAAATAACTAAACATTGGCTCTCTGTTCAGGTAATACCCAGGCAACGCCGGGGAAGGACGGCTAGTACTGTATATACACTGACGTGTCTCTGTAAACTACTTGTAATTGACGGTTACATAATCTTGTCCAAACGTCGCACATTTATAATAACGTTTGCTTCATTATACAGTCAAGCCATCTCCAAACACTTATTTTCCCAAAAGTGGGTTCCTCATCATCAAATTTCATATTCTTAGTCATTTTTTCTGTAAGCCTGTTAAACAAGAATAATATGAATAATAATAATAATAATAATACGAAGAACAAATGGATGAATTTTGTCTAACAATAGGAAAATCAACTTTTTGCTATTATCAATATTTCAGCAGCCCTAGCCATTGAGATAGAAGGCCTTGAGTGTTGTTTCAAGATCAAATCTGTTTTTTAAGATGGTTTTTGCCCATATGTTCTATTAGAATTTTTTTTATGAAATTCTGGGGCGAACCCTATTATGAACCACTATCGTAATTTATGGCTTTTTTGAACAATAATTAAATTATCAAACGCTATTTCAATTTAAAAATAAAATTAGATATATTTAATTTTGATTTAGTTTAAGTGAATATTTATTATTGCATGTATTTGAAAATTATAGTAGTAGCTATAAAATTATAAGTAAAGTTATGCCTAAGGCGGTAATGAGTAAGGTCGAAAATAACAAATGCCCTTGCCGGTACCTTCTAATTTTGTATTTTTATCGGTATGACTCATTGACCCTAGGAATGAAGACGAAGGCTAGAGCATGAAAAATAAGCTTCTAGTTTGGCTTCGTAAACAAGCGTCTAACACTTTTGTTCGCGGATAATGAAAATCAATAGTTTTCCCCTCTTGTGAGTATAGCACTAAAGAAATCAGGAACTTCAGGATTTATTTTCTTTTTAGGCAGATTTTATCTAAATTTCAATCTAAAATACTAGGTGTCGTTATCTTCATCGTGTCATGTCGCCGTTATTACGGCGGGAAAATAGTAATTTGTTTACGTATTTTGAATTTAGAAGAAATACAAATAAAAATTTAAGACTAGACTTGATAAGATAAAATATTCAATTTCAAGTAAAAAAAGCCTAAACGGTTTACATGCTATATGTAAAAGGAATGATGAATTCCCTTTCTTTTCTTAATGTAATTAGATATAAAGACTTAATAAAGTCTAAAGAAGATTAACGCTGCACTATAGTGTACTTGTGTCGTGAAGTTGTGTCTAAGGTTATCTTGCATTTAAAGGAATTAAAATTTGATATAGTAAACTTTCACTAATCAACCTGTTAGTTATTCAGTGCAAAAGATTCAGTAACTTGTATTTATGAGAAAGATGAAGTAGCATACAGTTATAAAGTTAAACAAGAAAGAAACTTTAGAAAGTAAATAGATTACAATAATTTAGTTTATAATTAACTTACTAAGTACAGATACATTGCTTTGTATTGTGCATTTCACCATATCGTTAATTCTGTGAATGTGATATTTCCTTGATTATCTCGTATTCATAGTCGTAATGTGGCCAGCCAATGTAGAATTTTAAATTGCATACACTAACAGTGACATTTGTAGTAACCAATGTACAATTATTAAAAGGTACCAAAATTCAATAAGCAATTTATGATTAAAAAGTTTACAGTATATTTTACAACTGAAATAATTTTTCAGTGAAAATACTTTTAAAACCTTCAGACTGCTGCATCTTGTCAAGTACTATTGCTACATGTATAAATATATTAGTCCAGTATAACAAGCCTCACAAGAATAAATAGGAGAATGCACCAATGTGGACTTTGTATTCTGGAGGCCTGTACAGCAACTACTTTGGCACAAGTATCATGCTGTTATATCTGAGTATATTTGAATCATATAGTTATTCTTAGTTCTTCACCAGATTTTACAGGTATCCCTTACACCTTGCTTGCTGTGAACATTTATTTTAACTCACTCTGTTATTCAACCAAATGAAGCCATAATCTTTCTATGCCAATCTTTATGAAAATATACTGAGTATTAATTAGCCAAGTCTGCCATAAACCTGGGATCAACATCAACCAGGTTCACTGTCTTCACACAACATCCAGAACAAAACAACTGGTTAATACAGTTCTGCAGGCTTAAATTAACAACTGCCATGTGTCCATTCTTGATCTTGCATCAGGAGGATGGTCGATACATTAAAACTCTAATGGCTACTAAATGTATATTTACACAAATGGACATGGCTGAAAGTATACCTGTTTTTCATACAATATCAGTCATTATCTGGAGTGATAATACTTCTGATATTTGCTGTAATCATCTTTATTAATTTCCTTATGAACATGGCCTCAAAATTTGATTGTATTTGTATATATATATATATATATATATATATATATATAGTAGTAGTAGTAAGTAAGTAAGTTAGTTTAGTTATTATTAGTTAGTTTAGTTAGTGTAGTAGTTAGTTTACTTACTATTGTTAGTTTAGTTTGTACGAAGTTAGTT